AATCCGACGATAAGTAGTCGGTTCACTATCAGTGGTAGTAAACTATTAACATGATGAAATCAGTCTCTTTAAGTTCATGCAGAAAATGTAATGCGTCGCAGAAAATCGGTGATGAAGACCCGGGATGAAGACTCATCGGCACACTTATAAAGCCCGGCGCATATGCACTATACGGTCCTCCTTCGATCAGATTTTCGTTGAAAGGGCCGCGGTTATCCAACAACAGATCGTGGTCAGATCGTGAACTGTGCGCCGGCCATAAGCTGAGATTGAAAATGCAAATCAGATATCCATTTTTCCACATGAACTTTAGAAGACTTTAGGGATATACTAAACAGTAATAATTCACGTAATTACCATAATTGTCATCCATTTCTGTGCACTACATCAGATTCTAATAATTCATCTTTATTGATTATATTATATATCAAAGAGATGTTGACGATATTAATCTGTATTGTAGTCCTAAAATCCGTAGGGTTTAAGATTCAATGAATATTTTCGATCTGTGTATCATGGAAAGGATGTTGTGAAACTTAAAGTAAGTAAAATTCAATTATATGTGATGTCGGGGCGTGGGTTCCTCTGAGGACTTCTTCATTAAGCATGGTTCTATTTACTAATAGGTAGATTTATAATGCCAGGCATAATTAATGGTTTTTATGTTTTTAAAGAAAATTCAATAAGATGATATGTACTTTGACTCATCCATTATTACTCATTAGCCATGAAGACCCTCACACTCACGCACATACACACTCACGCAGACACACCCACCATTGCCCTACCTCCTCTAACCAACATCCTCTCCAACTTTTTATTTTTTTAATTTATTGTTTATTTTAGTCAATTGTACATGTTATTCACTCTATATTAAAAAAAAAAACTTCAACAAATCAGGAGGTTATTTTACTGGTTCAAGGAACCATGGAGTTACTAGCTAGTTACTCCATGAAGGAACAAAGTCCTGTTCATCCCTGCCCCTCACTCCCTCGTACAAACACACCCACATACACACACGCACACACACACACATTACTCACTCAGTGGATGTATGCTAACATTCTGACCAGGCTGCAAAATAGAGTTACAAAAAACACACGCACACATTACTCACTCAGTGGATGTATGCTAACATTCAGACCAGGCTGCAAAATAGAGTTACAAAAAACACACGCACACACACACACACACCCAGATAATAATGATGATAATAACATCAAAAACAAATAATAATTACGATATTAATATTTATGCACTATCCTTTATAAAAAATGGGCATAAAAAGGAGTATCTCGATGCTCTTTACCTTCATATACACCGTACACGCACAAAAATACGCACAATCACACACCCTCGCCCACCCATCCACCCACACGATTTTTGTCCAACCCACCCTCCTTCCCAAATACACACCCTCACACGTCCTCCTTCCTCACATACACACCCTCACAACCCTCCCCACACACCTTCACACGCCTCCATACACACACCCCAATCCTTTCCACACAAACATACACCCTCAAGATCACTAACTTGTCACCATTTAATTCAATTTCACACAAATCTGTTCGTCTCCAGTCAATCTCTAAAATTATATTTCAACTTTATTTCCTTTTTTTAATTCGATATGTGCATACGGTAATCTGTCATAGGATGACCAACGAAAGCTTGAACGACCAAGGAAAAGGGCGCAACGCTGATTGGTGAGACACCGCTCCTCCCAACAATAACATCATAAAAAGTCACTTGCCATCAGGAACGATCTGACACTCCCTCTGAATGTCCGTTTTTGCTTTTAACAGATCTGGGACCCGTTTCACAAAGCCTATTTTCAATGAAAAATGATGAAAATCAGTGACAAATCTTCTGATAACCAATCAGAAGCAAGGATTTCACTGGCTTATAACAAAAACTGTCATTTGTGCCCGATGACAACTTTTGACAAGTGTTGTGAAATGGGGCCCTGGATTACGTTTATGTGTACCACCGACACGCCGGATGAGATTCAGTTTTTTTTGTACCGAATTTTATACACTTATTCAACAGGCGATAGCGCTTTGAGGGGGGGGGGGGGTGTGATCTGAATCAAACATAAATGTTATTGTTTTTATTCACCCATTATAGGAGGGCGTCTCCACCACACCTCAATCCTTTCCACACAAACATACACCCTCAAGATCACTAACGTTTTCACCATTTAATTTCACACTAATCTGTATGTTTCCAGAGTTAATGCGATGAATTTCTTTTTCCTGTATTATTTTTCTGACACTCATTGGTTTTGTAATTTCCTTAAAACCTCTCTTGTATTTTCTTCTGTATTTTTAATCACATATTGTATATTTGTCATCATTGCACACTTCTTTGTTATGTATAATTCTGCAGTGACATGATCTTTGTTATTGTTTGACTTATTGAAAAAGAATTTGTTGCATAACAGATGAATCAATAAATTCAATTCAATTCCATTCTCATGGTGAACACACCGTGCATATCACAATTCAAACAAGCAAATCGAATTCATGTAAATTCCTTTTATTGAATCATAAATTGCTATTTGTCATTTATTTCATATCAAACAGAGTATTTTACATTGTATTGCACCAACCAACAATTTCAATTCATCATCGATCGTCAACAGAGTCAGGTAATTGTTATTCATTACATGGAATACTTGCTGTCTGTTGAATCATTATCATTCTATGACGAATTTTTCCACGAAAAAGTCTACAAATAAATAAATAAAAAATTATACAAATCCTTAAAATATATCAAAACCCTGTATACAAGTGCATGTATTCAATCTACCAACAAAACGTTAGGTGGGGAATTCAGATGTTTCCAGGTTTTTCACACAATATCCAGTAACTAAATATGGATTACCTAACAGTGACATAAAAGGACATAAAAAAGGAGTAATAAGGCATGGCTGATTAGTAGGGTGTAATAATTAGCCTAATTCCCCGATGTTAGTATGGATATTCTTTATTTTTGATCCCCCAAATCATGTGCAATAGCTTTATTGAGTACCTAACAATGTGACTAATCAGTCTGTACGATTTACAGTAGGGTTCTTTTCATAATGATAAATCTTAAGATTAACCTAAATTGGGATTTCTGAAATGGTAACAGTGTGTTGAAAGGTAAATTAAAATAGATTTTCTTTCTGACCTGACAATAATATTCAGTTCTTGTATAGGGCATATCACATTATATTCAACATCCCTATGGGCTTCCAAATAGCTTTCTGAAAATTATTACCCTAGCTTTGGCCCTCACTTATAGCTTTCAACACCAAAACTGATAGTTGATTTGTTCTTAGACCTTCTTAGACCACCAAGAAAAATACCTGTTCATCAACCCATGCCCTTGATCAACACTGTGCATCACATAATCCTGACTTCCTAGATATCAACCTCTGGCAATTTCAATAGCCCTGTCAAACACCTATTGCAAGTTGTGAGTTTGACAATGACATATTACCTACTTTGAAAATGATTTCCAGCGGCAATACTACAGGCAATTGAATTTGCTTCAAGTTGATCTTTAGAAAGTCTTTGCAATGATGTTGTGGTGTACAGTTCTTCTTCTGTGTCACCACTGCTTAGAATGAGGTAAGTGTGTACGATGTGCTCTAATAATAATAATAATAAAATTCAGCTTTTATATAGCGCCCAATACATCGATGTGCTTAAGTGCTTTACAGATATATTATTACCCCAGTCATCGGATTCAGGCTTACCCGCACACAATGTATGCACATTCTCCATTCCCGGGGAGCATTCCGGCTAGTCGCCATTTTACAAGCGCACACTTGTTCATCCGACCACATGAACTTTCGCATCCTACCGGGTACCCATTTAACACCTGGGTAGAGAGTGGCAAATGTAGATCAATGTCTTGCCAAAGGACAGTAGTGCCGCAGCAGGACTCGAACCCCATACCTTGTGGTCTGCAGACGGGTGACAACACCTCTACTAATTCATAGACTGGCTTGGGTTGAACATGATTCAGATGCCCCACAAAGACCATACAACTGAGATGGTCTTAGTAAGACTAAGATATTGCACTATTCAAAACATTATGTTAAAACTCTAAAGGAACTAGCAAAGTAGAAATTGCACTATCATTACAATGAACTGACATGCAACCCATTCCCAACAATGACAGATGGAACATGTTTAAGGTAAGGTGCAACAAACACACCCACAGTGAGCTGATGTCAAGGCCTCTTATATGCGGTTTATATTCATACTTTGGTTGCGCTCTTGCCATATTTCAAAATGCTCCTAGTTATGAGAACTGCTAGAAATTAATTGTTTTGGGGGAAATGGAATCCATGTACTTATTTGTTGCCCTCAATTCAATATTTGGTGAATTTGTTGCCACTGACCCATTTCTATCCGAAAATTTTAGACATAATCACAAAAAATTGGGTCCACAGTGATATAAGATGAATCTTCAACTTCCAAAAACTAAGGATTGTGAAAATGAAACATCACTATTGGGTTGTACATTGGAATGTACATGTTCAATGAAATTATCATAGATCTTTCAAATTGTATAAATGCAGTTATTCAGTGACATTATGGAATGGCAAAATTTAAAGTGACTCAGTAACATTGTTGAAAAAATTGTTTAATTTTTGTATGAAATGTCACTTATTACATTTCTTCTACTGTACTAACCCTCTAACATGCACAAAATCCTGAAAAAAATTCTCAACCACAAAGATATTTATGGTTTTCTTTGAAGGCATCACTGTGCGACACCCTCTACAGTAAAATCTCCCAACCATTTTCTATGAAAATAAGACATAAGACAGGCTTTTTTAAATCTTTCAACACTTAAATGTCTGGAATGGTAGAGTCAATTCAATGCTTTGTGGCGATTTACATTCACCTAAAGTGTAAAAATTGTAATAATAAAGTTGGGAGAATTAAGGAATTGATCAGATAAGCTTTTCCTAGTTTTTATTTTTTATAATGGTTTGTTTTCACTCAAACTTTCAGATTCTCTTTAATTGTACATCAAGCATTGAAGTCACTACCTTAGCACCATTTTCTCTCATCTGAACAATGTTACCAAGTCCCTTAAATGATGCCATCTGGGACAATGTAAATGGTGCCATAACCCTCATGATGAATCTAGCTAATAGGTATCAGCTGATACTGGGGTAGTCAGACTCCTCAGACCTTGGCTCAAGCCAAAGGGCCTGAATTTCCTGGTTTTAAGGCCAGGAAGAAGTGCTAAAACTGCTTCAGTCTTGGGCCAGACTAGGGTGCCTGACCTTCTAAGGTTTCAGGGAATGTTGGAATGCCTGAACCATTTATGTTGGAGGCCCTGATGATGTGCATGAACTTCCTTCATCACGGGCCTGACCTCAAAAGAATGAACTAGTCAGGACTTGGGCCTCATTGAAGTACCAGAACTTCTTCAGTCTTTGACCAGGTAGGGCCGTCTGATACTCTTGGTTCTTAGGCCAGTCCAGTGACCTTTTCACCCCAGCTCTTTTGTCAGTGTGTAGTGCGGTTGTGTGTCTACAGTAGGAGCTGCAGGATCTTCAAGACTTGACAGAGCAACTTGTTCCAGACCTCATCGTAATGTTACGTTAAGAATAAAATCTGCAGAAGTTAAAAGAACAGGAGGGAAAGGTATAAACAAATTGACATTGACATGGTTGAAATAGTCCAAGAATATATTTCATTGATTTAAAAGGAGAGTTGGAAAAGAACAGCCATCTCATCTAATCCCTTTTTTCTACACATAGCCTGCCTACCATCCATCTGATGGAATTTTGTCTTATTTGTCACTTTATCCATTCCCCATCTGTCACTACCAATTTATTCGGTCTAATTTCTAATAAGTCAAATGCTCATTTAGACTGTCTTTCTATTGAGCCTATTTTTAAAAATTGCTTCTAATATGGTGAAAGGGTACTCTCCAACAGGGTATCAGACCTAATAGGTAATAGTTGAAATGATTACTAGACCATTCAATCAACTAACCCAAATGATAATTACACAAAATTGACATACCGGTAATGTAAAATTAATAATCAGATCTCAAGGATAATAGGTGGCTTGGGTGTAGTTAAAATATTAATCAAGTAATGAAGAAAGCGGAATAACAAATGACTGTTGATAATGATCATGAAATGGCTTCTAAAAAATCTTGCAATATTAAGACTAGCTTTTTAAAATTTTATTCTTTTTTCCACTTTTCGTCTTCTTCATAAAAAATGCCATATGAGTAATAGGAAAGAGTCACATTATGCAGAGAATGTTATGATACTTGATCATGTGATCAATCATCATGTTCTACTGTTTGATTAGGACGGCTTCTAAAAATCCTCTGTAGATAAGAAAAGGTAACTTGGTTGAGTAGATCATGGTCACATATCTGTCCCTCTTTTTTCTTCACCATTAATTAAACATATCTTCTTTAATGAATGTCTAAAAAGAGAAATTTGTCTTCCTTTAACAATAAGTATAATCATGTTATACCTACATGTATGTTGGTATGTAGGTTGTACGACACTTGCTCCTGCGACAATCATTCTGCGGTTATTTCCGAACTCTAATCATGAACCACAACCTAGACCTTACCCTCACCCTATCCCTAAACCTAACCTAAAACCAAATTGCAATCCTAATGCTGATCTTATAATTTTGACACAAAGACCAGTAGGGCCCCGTCTTATAAATAGTTGTGATTGATCCACATCAATCACGAGTCCTCTTATCAATAACAAATTTGCACTACCCTATCTCTTATGTACATAGTTGCGATTGATATCAATCGAAAAATATGTTGTGATTAATATCAACTCTTCATAAGAAGGGGACCGGAGCAACTGTCGCTGGAGCAAATGTCAGATCGCTAGCTTCAGTTATAGAGTGGTGAAGTGTGACGTCATCAAAAATCTATTTTTGGAATTTCTCAATTTTTTCTTTATTTTCCGAAAGAGCGTAACAAATAATGTCCAAATGTCGAAAACCAATTGAATATTTTAAGTATTGGCCGGGATATGACCATCTGAACAGTACTGCATCTGAATTTTCTATAGGAATTCAGTGTTATATTGCTCTTGCTCGTAATGTTATGAACCAGAGCAAAATAAACACTGAGTTCCTATAGGAAATCTATTTATTCAGATGGTCATATCCCAGCCAATACTTAACATATTCAATTGGTTTTTGATATTTTGACATTATTTTTGATGCTCTTTCAGAAAATGAAGAAACAATTGAGAAATTCCAAAAATAGATTTGTACATGTATGATGTCACAGCTTCAGTAGTCTATGTGGTAGTACACTCTTACATACCATTCTGTAAAGGCCATCAAGCTTGGACTGGATATTTGAACCAATAGCCTTCAGATTTCTATGGTCATTCTCTGCCTTTTGCATTGTTTCCTGTGGAAGATTAATAACAGCAAGAAAAGAGAAATAATGATTAAAGGATCATTTAACAATGTTAAATCTGAGATGCATGGCCCTATGTGTTATCAGTGTCTGTCATATGATGAAATATTGAAGCCCTAAAAAAAGGCGCTTCAAAATGATCATGAAGTGTCTCAAAAAAGTAAAAAAATTTGAGTGACCGGTTTTACAATGCTCATTTTCCCCAATAGACTGTAGTGTTATAAAAACCGTTTGGCAAACAAAAAATGAATTTCGATTTCCAATCATAAATATCTTGACAATCAGACAGGCGATCGACTTGTGAAAGTCATGGGATTCCTGACTGACATAAAGGCTTGTAACTATCATTGCAGCATGAGCTAAATCCAGGATTTTGTTTCAGAATCTGAGACAAAGTTACCTGATCCCTTTAAACCCGGTGATCAAGGTGATAAATCACCATAAAATATTTTTTTGTTCAGTAGGTCTTAGTTGGGCAAAATGATATACTTGTTTAAAAAGCATTTTCATGTATTATAATCATCATAATCGTTAACTATTCATACAGGGTTCTTGGGTAGGAGAAGACAAAAAATTAGAGACAAAATGATATGAAGTTATGATGTAAAAAATCTCCAAGAGGCAATATTGTCCTGTCACAATAGAGAATATAAACATCTTTTTTTTGTTTAATTAAAAAACGCAGAAAAAACCAAAACAAAATGTAAACACCTACGTAATAATACATGATGCGCAGAGGAGGGTGGGGGTGTTAAGTGTAGAATAGAATAAATAGACTTGTGATTAACAATATCATTCTCCGGTAATTGCTTCCTGCTGACTAATTATTGTTCATTTTTATATTTCTTTATGACATGTATTTCACGCCTCTTATTTTTCGCCATCTGATGACTGATGACTGATGACAGTCAAACAAATGTATGGCCTTTTAAGTTTCAGGCATTGGGAAGCTTGTAACAGAAATCAGGACCCAGTACAACTTTTTCCTGAGTGTTTCAGTTTCATTTTCAGTTTCAGTAATTTTGACAAGAAATCAGATATACAATTCAACATTCAATTAAAGTTGTGAAATAGAAAGTATACATAAAATTAAATATCCAGTATGATGGGGTTTTTTTAATTTAAAAGAAAATAAACCTGTGGAATTGGAGGGATCCACTGTATTGGGAGTCATTCTATACAAGGCCCCCTTCGCAATATTCACCATTTGAAGGATCAAGATTAAAATGGGGGTGGGGGGGGGGGGGGGTCGATTTATATGTATACCTGACTCCTGTGTTAGTGTTGAGCCTTGTAATCAATCACCGCGGCACAAGACTCACAAAATCACAGAAACATAAGTTTGAAAGTTGATTACAAAAAAGAGAAATATGTAGTCTAGGATTGCTACTTCCCCCTTTCAAAATACAGTGATTCATGGGGTCAGTGTGTCAATCTAAATAAGCAATAATTGCCACGAGAGAAATATTGCTTCATCAAAGTATACAGGATGGGTGGGAAAATGCTATCTTCATCGGATTCATGGCTCATTGGTTGATTTATTCATTCATAAAGAATTGCTCTTTAACTGCTGCTTTTTATCTCTCTTTATCTCTAACAACCCTCCCATTGATACATGTACATGTACTCTCTCTCTCTCTCTCTCTCTCTCCCTCCCACACTCTCTATTTTTTCTCTCTTTCTCTCTCTTTTCAATATTATTTTGCCTTCTAACATATTTTTTTTCATCTAATATCTTTCATCTCTGTCTTTCCCTCTTTTCTATCTATCTCTCTCTCTCTCTCTTTCTTTTTCTCTAACATTCAATTTCTTTTGTCAAGTTTTAAATAAATTTTCCCTACATTTCCCACTTGTATAATATTTTATAGTAGTTAGCCAACCCTTCCCCATCTGTCATCTATTTCACTTCCTCTATGAACTGAATTATTAATCTTTTCTCCTAAGACGACCTATTTGGAGTGTGTTTATGATATTATACAAATAATGCACTGTTGCGAGAGTGTTAGGGCAGGGCTAGTGCACATAGGTGATAATGCACGCGCCCGTAGGGCAAGTACATTATCGATATCGCACTGACGAACCTGAGTGCACTGGAACTGCCCCATCACACGAGCCAAACAGTGCATTATTTGTTTTATAAGACGGGTCGGCAATACATTCTTACAATATAGTCTAGATCTACAGTATAGATAGATATTAGATCTAGATCTAAGTTAGATCTAACTAGATCTAGGCCTAGAATATTCTAACGTTAGATCTAGATAATTAGGCTACTCTACAAAAATAAAAGATTGATTTACGCGTAAGCGATATCGGCAGGTATCAAGTATGTGTTATCAACTTTTTATGGGAGATGTTTTGCATGGTGGGAAAAATAAATGCATGCCCACATGATGTCAATTGACCAATAGGATTGCTTAGATTCTAGAACCTGTGATAAAAAAATTATCATCTCCATGTTTTATTCCCTCAAAAATATGAGGCAAGAAATGGACTTCCACATGTTCTCTATGTTCAGTTTCTTTCAGAGGGTGTACAGTGTGCGTATTGTATATAAAGGCCTGTTGGTTATAAAAATGAAGTCCATTCTCTGTGATTGATAACGCCCACCATTGGATGCATAGCCACAGAGTGTGAAATTCCCCATAAGAAGCCATGACTGTGTCATTACAACAGATACTATTTACTGCCATGCAACTACCGTAATTAACATTGTATAAACAGCCCTCGTGTATTAGCCCACCCCTCTTTTTCGCCATAAAAAAAAAAAAAAAAAATAGAACCTTGTGGTACGCCGTGTAATAGAAGAAAAATTGGAGGAATTATTATTATAAACTACATATTGAAATCTATCAGAAAGATTACTTTCAAACCAAGATGACAGACAAATTTGAGTGTTGTTCTAATTTCCGAGTGGTCAGTCAACACACCGATTACTGAGCTGGGAGACATTGCCAGGCATAGCGCCAGGTGGAGGGGGCATTAATCGAAACTTTAATTTTTTTTTTTTTTTTTTTTGGTGTACTGTGTATAAACCGCACCCCCGACTTTGAATCTTTTTCGGCGGCAAAAAGGTGCGGTTAATACACCGTTAATTACGGTATTCTACAAAGTGATACACAAAAACAGGATAGTTTAGTGCTTTAGCTCTGGTAGCTAAACAAAGACCTCTGAAATCTCCATGTAATTATAAGAAATATTTTTTTAAAGCTCCCCTGGATTAAAAAAAAAAAATTTCTACACTGATTTGGGACAAATTACATTTCATTAAAAAACATTATCCAGTTTTGTTTTCAAATGGGTTCATTTGTCTAGAAAGCAATTAGGCTACATAATGAGAAAATGTTATAGAGAGAGAGAGAGAGAGAGAGAGAGAGGGGAGAGGAAGAGAGAGAGGGGAGAGGAAGAGAGAGAGGGGGAGAGGAAGAGAGAGAGAGAGAGAGAGAGAGAGAGGAGAGGAAGAGAGAGAGGGGGAGAGGAAGAGAGAGAGAGAGAGAGAGAGAGGGGGGGGGAGGGAGTGGTGACAGTGCCTTTGAAAAAAAAAAGAGGGGAAAGAAAGACACAGACAGAAGTAGACATAGAGGGACAGAGAAAGAGAGACATTCATGTACACAGACAGACTGAGAAATTACAAAATAAATCAATAAGAGACAGAGTGACACATGCAGAGAAAGAGAGTAAATGAATAGTTTAATTCCAAAAGGAGCTTAATCACCTTTTGATGAAAGTTGAGATTGATATCAGAACATTGTTCACTTAAGTACTCGTCTTTCAACAAATGTATTTACCTAAATTCTGGGGGCAATTATGGAACAATGCACCTTCTAATATCACTTTTGCTTAGATGCCTGTACAAAATCTGGTTAACAAATTCTTTTTTCTCTGAAGTTACACAAATTTATTTAGCTCCTTTTGGAATTAACTTATTCAAATATAGAAAAATAGGACAGATTGAGAAAGTCAGAAAGAGACGGATAGAGGGTAATATCACCCACCCACCTGTAAGATTTTGCACTTCCTCCGCAATGTCATCTGTTCATGAATACTGATTGCATGGTGACGTCTCAGCTCCCTCAGCTCCAATTCTCTCTCTGCAAAAACACAATCATGGGAGAAATCTCTAAATCCATATCTAATTATCCGAACCACATGATGAAAGAAGACTTTTTATAACTATCACAGAAATGCTGAACCTTACTTTTATCACTGATTAGTGAAGGTTTGTCTAACCTATTGTTTGTGAAGTAGTTATAAAGTGAGACCTGCAAGACTCATATCAGTCTTGCAGTTGGTGAGGGGGGGGGGAGGGGGGCTCCATTTCTCCCACAAAACAGCTTTGTTATGTTGCATCATCTTTTTGGCATGTGGCAAACTTGGGGCTTGAAAAATGCTGAAGTTTTCACAATGTAACATATTAAAGTTAATTTTGTGGAAAATACAATTACTGTTATAAACTACTGAAATAGTGGCATTTGATAGGCTGAGAGCAGATTTGTCGTATAAATTAAGCATTTGTTAAAGGGCAAGTCTACTCCAAAAATAACTTACTTTCAAAAGAAGCAGAATAATCAGACAAACAATCAAAAACAGTTTGAGCAAAATCGGATAACTAATAAGAAAGTTATGATTTTTTAATCACATGGAAAACTTTGAAAATCACATGACAAATTGGCAACTCACTCATAAGTCTGTGACATCATTGCCTCACTATCCACTAATTGTTTTCTTTATATTGACAATATAAATCAAGTTTTGGGGGATAAAAAGGGAAATTAATGGGATAAAAATATATAAAGCAATTAATAATATAGTGAATATAGTGAGGCAATGACGTCACAAACTGATAACCGAATTGGCAATTTGTGTAGTGATTTTCTAAGTTCCATAGTTTTCATACTTTTTAAAAAAAATCATAATTTCCTCATTATTTATCCGATTTTACTCAATTTTTTGTTGCTCTGTTTCTCTTGTTTTTCTGCATCTATTGAAAGCAAATTATTTTTGGAGTGGACTTTGCCTTTAAAGACAACAAGTTTTATGAAACAGAGCCCTGCATACCTCAGTGTGTGGCATATTTTGGCATACTGCAAGGACTTTGGTTCCATATTTCATACTTCATAAATCACTTTATAACAAACATATAGTATTATCATTACTATCTGTAAAGTTCAAAGCCTGTCTGCACTAGTTTGGCCAGGGGGATTAGACCTCCCTGCAAGGTCACTGACAGGTGGTTATCTCATCAAATCAGCTCTCATTAAACATAAGAAAAGGGGCTTATGGGGGACCAACAGGCACTGATTAGGCATTGTTTGCTATATAGAGGGCATAAGTAGTTCAGTCCCGCTTTAAATATAAAAACATGAAACCTACCAAAATGCAGGTCCATGAACGTCGACCTGAATCCCTCCGTGTGTGGCATGCCTTCTCTAAAGCATTCGCATGATCTACAATCATCTGATGTGGATGCTATGTCAGGTTGAGTCACGCCCTCTTCCAGTTCTTTCAAGCCTAGAGTCTCTTGGTCCATTTCACCTGCGAGGAGATGGTCAATATTGCTGTCTTCAATATTATGTTCTTTCCAAAACACATGCTGTGTTGTAGGCAGAAAACCTTAATTTGTAATCTTATATCAATATTCGTCTTCAAACACATTTATTCTAAAAGTCCTTGCAGAAGTCAGTGTTAAAAAGCCCCACTATCCTACTTGTAGCTATTGGCTCCCTCTATATAGAAAACTTCCCCAATCGGTGCCTGTTGGTCCCCCATGATCCTCTTTTTCTTATGTTAGTTGAGAGCTGAGTTAATGAGATAGCCACCTGTCAGTGACCTCACTGTGTGGTCTAATCCCTTCTGGCCCAGTAGTATTGACGGTCTTTGAATTACAACCTCTTTCACTTCATTATACAATTGAAGTGAATTTTTGCCATCAAATGTTTTGGCTCCAAACACTTCAGAAAGCTTTAATGCATAATGATTAAGGATGACTTTGAATATCTCTGAATTGTCAGTACCAGAGCATTAGATCACTTTTGAAGTGAGAAGAATATACTTACATATTTTTGCAGCCAGAGCAGTCATATGTTGTTTGCCCAATACATGTTGTGACATGTTATGAGTGCTGTGAAAATACATGTCACACACTTTGCATTGTAGATAGTTGCAACCCTAAACAACAGAAAAACAGAATGAAAGAAGGAAAGGTAATTTTAATCACTTTAATTTATTATAACATTCAATACAATCCAATTTTAGTAAAATAAGCATTTTTTCCGCATATAACAGTCTGGATTGTTCCGGATTAGCATTCAATATTTAAGAGAAGTAAAGAAAGAATGCACACAAAAATTATTAAAAAATGAAAACATGAGAATTGAAAAAAACATGTACGGTTTCACCACAATTTGCATATATCACAGTAATCAACAAAAAGTAGTGATTGTCAAGCGGAATTGTTTAACATATTTTCAAAGGTGTGAGCAAAGTTTAGTAGCAATTAGTAGCTCTACAGATGTCGGCCGAGATCTGTATAAAATGTCATCATGCCAACCCCCCCTCTCCCTCCTTCCCTAGCTATTTGGACCTCTCAAAAAGGCTGAGTTGTTTGACATGTTGAACCCTTACTTATAGTCATCAATACAAATTATATCATTGAATATTTTCTACTCACAAAATAGCTTGGAATTACCGTATAATATGTTGGTAAAGAATAGTTTACTGAAAAAGTGTGTTAAAGCCTGTCTGCACTAGTTTGGCCAGGGAGGATTAGACCTCCATGCAAGGTCACTGACAGGTGGTTATTTCATCCAATCAGCTCTCAATTAACATAAGAAAAAGAGGATCATGGGGACCAATGGTCACCAATTATGCATTGTTTGTTATATAGAGGGCGCAAGTAGCCATTAGTAGTGCAGTGGGGCTTTAAAGTGATTTGATACTTACCAGAATATCATTCTTGCTCATGTTTACTATCTGCTCACTCATGGCTTCTTCACTTCCTGCGCATAAAGACAAAGACAAAGTACTTAGTGAATATATTAATATCAACCCATTGACAATAATGCAATAATAGTTTAAATTTAAACAGCACCTTATACCTCTATGCTGTCTCTAACCTGCTGCTGCTACTGATGATGATGATGGTAATAAGGCTGATGAGGGTGTTAACAACAATGTTTACGGGTGGAGATTAAGTTAAAGGTAATACAAAGTTTTGGTATTGGGTTATAAATTTGGTTTGAACGAACATATTAGAAGCATATGTAATCCTACAATATTCAGTGATCGTTGTCGTGGTTGAAATCGAGCCTAAAGTTATGAAATTGTAAATAATAAACTCTTTATGTTGTAAAGCTCCTTCTCAAGACTGATACTACAATCGACCGATTTGCTATTCCCGTTTGGAAATTATATATCAGAACTGCATATTCTGAGATTTTCACGGTCGCAGCTTGAAAGATTCAAAATTTACCGGGAGCGCTGGTAAATTTTTATTATTCAAATTTATCAAAAGCAGAAGGGTTTTAGGGGCTAAATTTTCTAGTGCCTATAATACATCTACAGGGGCATCAAAATATATCAACATTTTATAGAATTACTATCCATCCAATTTTCAAAATCTCCTAAAACTTTTCATTCCCTTTAACACTGACAATGGTTATGACATAATAAAATGAAAATGGGAAACCAAAACATTGGATTGAAAACAATAATCACAACTACAAGAGTACAAACTAAAGAATTACCACAAAAATTCCTGACAGCATTTTCCGTCTGCTTCTTGAGGAAGGCCTGACAGCTGGAAGACTCTTGGTATTCTTTGATCTCCTTGATGTACCTCTCCTTATCCTTCTTCTCCATGTCCAGGTATCTCTTCTTGACGTCTGGTGGAAGACCGGTCCACATCTTACCCAGGAGAGACGACACCTTGCGGCCAACCACCTCAGGATGACTCTCACGGTACCCTTCTCGCTGCTCCGCAAGAAACATGGCATACCTGCAGTTTGGCAGAGTGTGTAAGAGGTTGATATTTTTGCTCGTTAGATAGTCAACATTATATTTGAGTTAATTGCATCTTGTATTCCTCTTTCCCTTCCCTTTTTTCCATTTCCCCTTTGCCTCTGTCTCTTTCTGTCTTTCTCTTTTCTCTCTCCTCTTTCCCTCCATCTTTCCCCTCCTCTCTCTCTCTTTATTAAAAAATAAAATGTCCTCTTCTGCCTATATGTATCTATTTATTTATCTATCTATCCATCTATCCGTCCATTCATCAATCTAGCTCTTACTTTTTGTCCTCTCTAATAACCTTTACTCTCATAATACCTGCCCAAAACTCTTTCTCATAGCTTTTTTTGCAATTATTCATATGAACTTCTACTAATAGAGCCTTGGTTGTGCAAGTATAGCTTCCATTCCAGGCTTTTCCCTTACGGCTCATTCAGATATGAAAATGCAAAACTGCTGCGTTTTTGTATGACGTAAATTGTTACACACTACACATTTCTGTATCTTATAACACAGAGCTCAGTGAATACACGCCAATACTTTGTTGCGTGCACTTGCCATTCATTTACAAATAAAAAACTGTGCCATATCAGAACAAGCCTTTACATACCGTTAGGTGCTACAAAGTTACCAGTTAAAGGTACTATGTCCCATTTGCAGCCAACATCAAATTCTGTAGAACTTTGCAGGGATTATGAACATGTCACGTCTGTGAAATTTAAACGTTAGCAGTGTCCTAATATTCAAATTATGCAAGGAAACCTGTTTAATTTTCTAGACTCCACTGTCAGACACTATTGAGTGACTGACTGACTTCTTATTTTTTCTTAGGTAATAACATACATAAGATGAGCTGTAAAGGGTACATGAGCATTTGTCTACATCACTAACCCATTCAGCACAAAACGTACGACCATTCGGTACAAGGGTCTGAAAATCAGACTATTACTTTAGTGATTGCAATCACTAAAGTCGATTCGACAACTAATGGTCGTTATTTTTCCACTTAAAGACATTTCAAGCCCTTTCGTTTTGAGGGAGGTTTTAAATTAGTATTATCTTTCAAATGCCGGTTGAATTTAACATTTTAATTTTTTTGACTTGCAAATGGGACATAGTACCTTTAACTAATCATCTCTTTCACTCTATGGAATTGAATTCTACTTACGCAGAAGACGGTGGCCTGGGAGCTTTAGCCATCTCAAGAATATCTTTCTTCCTCTTCTTCCCCTTAGGCCAGCCTCCTTTGCCTTTCTTCTTCTGTTACAGATCAGACACAAAGGATATCATTATGAGTCATGAGATATATTGAGACATGAAAAGGATTATTTAAAAACAAAACTAGAATTAACAAAACTTCAATGAGATTAATTCCCATTAAAATTGTTTTCAATGTTTGAAAAGTTATATTGCATACCACAAAATAATCACTGTTGTAGGCTGAATCGTGCCCTACACATTTCAGATATGTTTGTAGAAGCTAAAATTTTCAATTTTGTATGCATCACAAAATATTCACAGATACCGGTATCTATGATTTCAAGAAATCTCAAAAATTGTGTACAAAAGAGTAAACATTCATGTGTTGAATGATTTTAGTTTTAATGGTAAGCAACTCTAGCATATTATCAGAAAGGCATACATGCTACAAGAATTACATAACATATATTGAGCAGGTATGAAGTGACCTTAAATCTTTACTTAAAGAGGGGTATTGCAGCCTGCAAGTTGGGCACCTCTATGAAATGCCTCAAGACCTGAATAAGGTGTCAAATATTCCCACTCCTACACTCATAGTCCAGTCACATTACATATGCGGAAGGGGGATAACGGTGTACTGCTCAGTGCAGATGATGTTTAATGGGGTACTTTACTAATAACAATGCTGCTTAAAGCGACTTGGTAACATAATTTGGATGAGAGAAAATGGTGCTAAGGTAGTGACTTCATTGCTAGATGTACAATTAAAGATAATCTGAAAGTTTGAGTGAAAACAGACCATTATTAATGAACAACATTGGTAAAAACTGATCTGATCGATTCTGAAATTCTCCCAACTATATCATTACAATTTAATTACATTTTAAGTGAATGTAAATCGTCACAAAGCAATGAATTGGCTCTATATTCCTTTCCAGACATTTAAGTGTTGACAACTTTTTAAAGGCCTATCATATGCTTTATTTTCATGGAAAAACCGTTGGGAAAATTCAAAAATGGTTAGGAGTATTTACTGTTCGAGGGTGTGACACAGTGATGCCTTCAAAGAAAACCATGAATATGTTTATGGTTTGAGAACTTTTTCACGATTTTTTTACATATTAGAGGGTTATAAGGAATATAATAAGTAACATTTCATACAAAAATTACACATATGTTTCATCAACCTTCAACAATGTTGCTGAGTCACTTTAATATTGTCAAAGACACTTTCTTTGATGCAGCAGATAAATGACGACAGAAATCAAAACAATCCTGGCAAAGTGAATGAAGAACATACCTCGGTTGCTACTAAAGGTGATTTCTCTGTTGCCAATGACTGAGAACCAGCAGAGGAAGTTGCTGATGCCATGTTAACAGTCACCGGTTCTACTTGTTCATCGCTGGTTGCTAGGGCAACATCCTCAGCTTGCGTCATGGCAACCAGGTTTTCCCCATCTTGGGTACAGACGACATATCCTTGGCGGATAACAAGCTGACCTGCGTGATGAATATTATCAGATGCACAACCGTTATATTGACAAAAAAACACATGTATTAATGTATAACATGTATGAAACTTTGTCATATTTTTGGATATTCACAGGTGCAGGCTCTCGTAATGAGGCAATTATAAACTTTCCGAAATAAGATTTTGTCTAATCTATACACTTGAAGTCTTTCTTCACACTCATCATCATTATATTTCAAAAAGTAAACAACTGTATAGGTCATAACAGAACGTCATGAGGTTTGCAAGCATTTAATGTCCTATTGCTTTGTCACAATTATTCAGATGACTATAACTCTCTGCCTTCACCCCCCCCCCCCCCCCAAGAAATACACCAATTAGGTAGAGAAAACCTGAAGTCAAACTAGTTTTCCTACAACCAGCTATTGAACCGATCTATGTTTAACTTGTTTGCAAAGGGCAATCAAAGAGACTTAGAAGCAAGCTTTTCAAACTAGAGATAAAAAACAAACAGGGTGTCCAAATACGGGGTGTCTATTAAACGATATGGAAAAAAAGGACCCAAAACTATATAAAACTATATATTGCTTAGGGGAACATTGGGAAAAATGAACAATAAGGGATAGAGCAACGTCGATCTGGTGCTGCTCAGTGGCTACCGGGCTCATGATCAATTGGGCAAAAAGAAGTTCCATTTTCGGTTTAACGTAATAAAATTTGGAGTGGACTTTAAGAGATTTTTATTATTATTATTATTATGGATCCGACATACATACCAGTACTGGAAAATTCAACGCTTGGAACTCCTGCAACATTAATAAGGTTGACAGAGTCAGCGCTGCTTTCCAGCTCCCCCACATTGCTGCTGGCCTGTTCAACAGTCTGTACAAGCCTGGCTAGCTCATGGGTTGGGATCTGACACGTGACAGGGATCTGCCGCCCCGCCCCTTCGTTGGATTCCACCTCCACCCCTTCTACGCCTCCCACCATCATCTGGGAGTCGGGCTCCAGGAGAGAGGAAGATGTGACCGCATCGTTAACATCCGCCTGCAGAGTGTCGCCGATGCTTATCGCTTCTCCATGATCATCTCCTACAAAGACAAGCACAGCAACAACAACAACAACAAAATTAGTACAAGGTATGCAACGTTTATAAGGAGAAACTTGACCAGAAATACAATCTTACACACATTCTGTAGGGTGAATAGTCTTACAAATCCTGAGACAAGGGTGCCAAGACAGGGTCTGAAATTAGGCGAACCTGATAACTTGTACATGTTTGTACAAATAATTTTAGAGAGATATGAATAGGTCTATCATTACCTGGTCCTAGTTCTGCATTGCCAACTAAACTTGTTGTGTTGGTACTCGTTGTAAACACCACATTGGTCCTGCTTGTCATAGCAGACAGAGTATTGTCTGGAACCTGCAGGATTCCCATTCCTAATGGAGACTGATCACTCAGACTACTAGTCCTTCCAACCTCCTTCTCACTGAGCGCCCCAAGGGACCCCGCAACCAAGTTGATACCAATGGAGAGTCCATCCCCATCCTCTTGAATCTCCCTGTTCATGGATTCACCAATGATGACAGCCTGCCCTGAAGACAGCGAAGCCAGGACCCTTTGCTGACTGAGGGTGTCTGGCAAGGTCTGGAAGATGTTGGTGACGGCTCGTAACGACTCTGGACTGATGACCGTGCCGGTGAGCAGTCCCCCTGGGCCACTGGATATTCGTCGGAGGTTGGAGCTGATGTCCGACAGGGTGACATGACCAATACTGCTAGATTGAGCCACTATGGTTTGAGGGGAGTCGGTGGCGATTGGGTGGTGAGCATTTGAAAACGAAGCTACCAATCTGGAATTAGAAAGAAGAACAAAAAAGCTTGAAAGTATTTATGATCAATACTTTAAAAGCTGTTCTCTCTGCACCTTGGATTGAAAAAAAATACGAACAAATATCACATATAATAGATAGGTTTGTTTTCAAATGCTAACCAGATTATTGGGAGAGAAATTTTGTTTTGTTAACAAACTCTAAATAAGAGAAATACCACCTTTTCAACTATTGGAGCAATTTCAAATGAAAAACATACTGGTAATCCTGTATTAAAAAATAAAAAGCTAAACTTTTCTCTTCAACAAATGTCTTCATCGCAATACACAGCAAGCACAATATTTCAATAACTATTAGTTGAACTGTTAAATTTTAATTCAAATATTCTAGGGAAAGTCCAGGGTACCTTTTCCCCATGTACATTACCAACATTATCAAAGTCTTTGTATAACTTTACATAATAAATATTAATGATAATAAGAGGCATTTCTATAGTGCCACCTATCTAGAAATTCTATTCCGAGGCGCATTTATTATTTCACCGGCCTTAGCCTAGCTGCCATTTATACAGTGCTCCAGCATTTCAAGGAATTAATTCCTGCCGGGTACCCATTTACCTCACCTGTGTCGAGTGTGGAAAATGTGGCAAATGAAGACTAATGCTTGCCAAAGGACATTAGTGTCTTTCAAAGTTTCAAGCTGACAGCCCTCTAGAGCTTGGATCAGATCAAATAACATGGAAAATGCTTTCTTCATTCGTGTTCGTATATGACAGAAAATTTGATTAAACAAATTCGCTTTCACTGGCTGCCTGCCGTAGCAACAAACGGAATTGACAAAAGACTTAACTCTGTTTCGTTGACGATCAGACGTAGACGAAAGACTTCATGCATGGCTGATTGTCAAAGAAACAGAGTTAAGTCTTTTGTCAATTCTACTTGTTGCTACGGCAGGCAGCAAGTGAAAACAAACTTTTAAAATCAAATTATGGAAATGCAAGCATCACTTTTTAAAAAACAGAACTTTGTTATTCCTTGCTCATTTTTCCTGATTGAGGTGTCATATGAAAGGGCAGAAACTGAACTTTCTAGAAATGTGAATTTTTCTTCGAAATTCAGATACTGCCTGCCAAATGACTTTTTGGTATTTTTTGGTTTCCTTCCTTCAAATTACTTTTAATCACTCATGCATGAATTATGCATCATATGAGTTGCATCAAATGAAAGAGGAGGATCTAAGCTTTACAAATATGTGTCATTTATTGATAATAATTGTGATTAAGTTATGATAAAACATCGATAATTCTCGGTTTAGTTTTTTCTGGGTCGCACTGAGCTGTGATTGTACAATGAAGGGCACCAGCGCGGCAGCGCGCTAGCAATGCACAAGAAGGTGGTCGGTCGTCGCTGCGCTCAGGCTCAGCTCGTGCGTAACTTACCCGGTAGTGTCGATTACTCCGTCAGGGACAGAAACTGTTACATTTCCCATCAAAGAAGACGTTCCGGAGCTTCCAAATTTGCCAACATGATGTTCTGCATCACTGGTAAATGAATCTAAAGAAAACTGATGCTCACCAACACCGGTTAAGTCATGACTTTCCATTCTGAAAAAGATTTACGTCCTTCCTCAAACTCAAAAGTAGCAAGGCCCATGAAAATAAAAATGCTGTAGCTGGTATTACATAGTTGAAGTTTTCGACTGGTGCCAAACAAACAATATTTACGGAAATGTATGGTCTCTTCAAACAAACAAATAATTAATATGAATAGATTGTAGTTATTGCAACATTATCAAATATAAACTTTTCGGTCTGTATTCTTCTAAAAATAAAATAAAAACCTTAGGTTATTTATTTGTACAAACCTTAGGCCTTTGATTAAAATCGCTCTAAACAAAGGGATTCATTCTGAATTCATTTGTTTCCATCCGTTAAGCTACGGATGTCTTTTTAACTGCACATATAGCTCATATTGTAGACCTTTTATTGAGACACCACATATACACCTGCACAACACCTACAATCAGTACGAGAATACACCCGACGGTGAGCTGTACTTATAGCGAAGAAGAAGAAGATTTGTTTTAGACCCGCGAGTCCCCCGGGGTCACATGTTGACTAAATTCACTAAAGCTATTAAAGCGCTAAGGGGAAACAAACAGTGGACTAAAATAGCCTAATAATAATATAAGCTAGTAGTAAATCAAAATAGATCTCATAATTAAAAGTAATATAGAAGTTCTAGGCCTACTTAGACATCCGACCTGCCACTGGTGCCTAGGTGCAATATTCCCCCCCCCCCCCCCCGGGCCCCCCTTAACCGGCAAACTAGTTTTATATCCTTTTCCATGCAGAAGAAGAAGAAAAAAGGGGAAAAGGGAAGGAAAATTCTACAAAATCTACCGTATATTTTAGCTAGGATAGTGATTTTTTATTTACAACATTTAAAGCAATACTACCATTAGTACCATGCACATCTCGCATGTGGCCATTAATTTGTAAAATTCCTGGTTGGTACGGTCACGGCATTTCGGAGTTCAATTTATGACCGGTACGAACCCCCGCCTGCATTTGGCATATTTTTATATTATAAAATATACAAGATGGTCTTTAAACTTCTATATAAGCTAGTTCAGGCTCACCGAGTCGCCCTCAATAATATTAATAATAATAATATTATTGCTTATATAGCGCTTAATACGTCGGGAATGTCCGAGTTTCTAGGCGCTTTACATTTTTACATCATTATTACATTATTACCCCCGGTCATCGGATTCATCGGTGAGATAAAGCAGGTCTGTCAATTTTATTTAAAGCCCCGCTGTACTACTTATATAGCATTACTTGCTCCCTCTATATAGAAACAATGCCTAATCGGTGACCATTGGTCTCCCATGATCCTCTTTTTATTATGCTAATTGAGGGCTGAGTTGATGAGATAGTCACCTGTCAGTGACCACCCTGACTGGAGTCCCTCCTAGCCAAACTAGTATTACAGATGGCCTTTAAGGAAAAAACAGCTGCATAGTAAGTGCGCATTCACCGTCATCATGAAAATACTATGCCCATTATTTCTTCATAAAATTTCTTTCTTCCAAAAAACTGTGAGATGGTCACATTTTGATACCCTATTATTTTGTGACACTTACAGGTTACTAATTGGCTTGGGGGTACAGGGGAGGAGCCCCCAGAAGCTCAGGGGTTTTAGGCAATAAATTACGGTCAGATGAACATCCAGGGGGCAGACGGCCAGATGAGCATATTTTGATAACTTTGTCTTAATTTTCGAAAAATGTTTCTTTGTCCGATGAAAAGTCACAGTTGGTAGGGGAAAAAATTGCCAGCCGACCGACATTAAAAGATCTAACCGACTTCAAACTTCTGCATTGATATAGTACAAGAGGATGGCGAGCAAGAATACCGACACAGCGGACCCGACACAGCAACATAATTATCTATGCGTATCTTTTTTGTTCCCTCGACGCCTGGCGACTCCACCCAACATCCCCCTCTCTCTCTTACTCCCACCCCTCTTCTATCAGGCTCTTACCCCCCCCCCTCTCTCTCTCTTACTCCCACCCCTCTTCTCGCAGGCTCTTACCCCCTCTCTCTCTCTCTTCTCTTTTTCATCCCCCGCTTTTTGTTTCCTTTTTTTAAATCTTTTTATCTTTTTTTTTCTCCTTTTCTTTCTTTTCTTTCTCAGTTCCTTTTTTTCCTCTCCTTCCTATTTTTTTCTCTTTCTCACTTCTCTTCTGTTTCCTTTCTTTCCTTTCTTTCCCTTCCCTTTCATTTTTTGTCTCCTGCTTTTCTCATTTTCCCCGACAGCAGCGCAATTTTACCGACAATATCTTGACAGGTGTGTGTGTGTGTGGGGGGGGGGGGTGACGCACCTTTAGCGACGCCCCGCACCCAAGCCCCCTCCCCCATCAGTACGCCAGTGAATTCAGCTAACAGGTATGGCTCAATACAGAACACTCTGGAGAACCATCATCTTCAGAAGCGCAAAATTTCACCATGAATAGATAATTTGTTTAATTAAAACAAAAAACACAATAGGCACAAACACACGCTATCGTTGTGGAAACTTTACTCAATCCTTTTCTGCTTGCTTGATCGAGGACACCATAATCTCTTTAGAACCGTAAGTCAGTATTTTCATGCTGGTGGCCGTGGAAAGGGATGCATTGTGTTAGATGCCTTTGCGCTTTTTGCCCCCGCGTTTGGAGTGATTTTCATGGGATTTGTTGTCATTAACTTTGGGGGAAATAAGGTATGTCGATATCCGTTGATGAGAAGCCACGTTTACTAACCACCATAGTCTAAGAGGGTCTGGACATAACTCAAAGTAACTCTCAGTTTTCAGACGTGTTTGTTGATGATCTTGAGACTTGAGCAGGTGCTAGGTGTTGAGTGATTAATCATGATTTAAAAATAGAAATGAGATTGGGAGTGCAGTGCCCAGGCAGTGAGGCATGTCGTGTTTGTTGTAATTCTATGTTGATGTAGACCTAGTATTGCACAATCATACATCAGCTTCGGTTATCCTTCACTAAATAAAGACTGGATGATTGCAATAGGTTGAAATAGCCAAAAGCAAGATTAGACTACAAATACAAATTACAATGCTTAAAATTTTACTTGTTCAATTTTGACCTGAACGTGAAACAGAAGTCGATCTAGCTAGACTAGCAAGGTAATCAATCAGTAATCTGTAACTTGTGATTAGAGTATAGTCTGATACTTAATTTTAGTGATACCTTGGCTTTGGGGGAAATAAGGTAAAGTCTGTGCCAATATCTCATCTGTTGATGAGAAAGCCACATTTACTAACCACCCTAGTAAGAGGATCTGGACATAACTCGTCAAAGTCAAACTCTTATTTTTCGGACGTGTTTATGATTATATGATCTCCTTTAGTAGACTGTTAGTGTTACTTAACTTCGTTTTAATTTAGTGATAGCTTAGGCCTAGATCTACAGTGATATAGTGACTGATACTGATATAGATGATGTCAACAGTAGACTAAGATTTTGAATAAGATTTAAGTTTAACTTAATTTTCCATCATTGAATGGTAGTCTGACCCTCCTATTCTTTCTTATTGAACGACTTAATTTTGATGAGGTTTAATACCGAATTTGTTTGTTGACTGGGTGATTCTACAGATTCTGGCCACTGGCCAGATTAGGCCTACGATCTACGGTCATCTTCACAATTTAACCCTGTGTCTTCTTCGGTGTCAACTCTTTCTTATGCATTATGGTCATCGCTCTTTTTGCAAAGCTTCTGCTGGACTTTGGACAAACTACCTTCACATGTCTAAAACTGTCAACCATTTCAAAACTTGTCTGAACTAGTAGATCTACTCAAAATTGCTTTTGATGATGAACTTAATTACTCTCCTCACATGTGATTGATGTATATTTTTATATACTTTATATAGATCTATGTATTTTAATTTGTAGGTTTATTTGTAATTTTGTATTACTTCTAAAAGTTCTAATAAAAAGTAATATGTATTTGTTTATCATTGTATTATAGCTCTTAGATATGATTTCGGTACATTGGAAAGAGCTGTAAAAGTACTTTAACAAAAAATTATATTTAATTCAGTAAAAACTTCCAGAACATTATAGATATGATTAAGACTAAAATTACTGAAAAGAATACTCAAAATGATCAAAAAAGAAGTGGAGGAATCGTTTTTCCTCCACTTCTCGGCCGCCGTAGGTTAGAAAAGGGATGGCATTGTCCTGACAAAAATGCCTAGAATTCTACAAAATGAACTTTAATGTTGACCTTGGACTAGTTATTCTGCTTCAAGGTATTTTTTAAAAATCATTTTGAGTATCCTTTTTAGTAATTTTAGTCTTATTTTAATTAGAAGCAGTGTAAAAAGAAGATTCAGGGAGATTTACTAGAGAATTGTTGTTGTAAAACATCTGTCATCAAATGTAGTTGAACCTTGTTCTTCATTTCAGTAATAATTTTTAAGTTACATAGTCATAAGATTTTCATTTAGATCTAGATTTTTAAATGAGCTCTAAAGCGTCATACTGGTAACTACAAACTTTTTCTTCTTTATGTTTTACTCATTTTGTTGCAGCTGGTTAACTGAAGCAGTGTAAAAAGAAGATTCAGGAAGATTTACCAAAGAATTTTAGCTCGGTCTGTAGGATTCATAAGGCTCTCAATCCTCTGACAAAAATCAAAATTTAAGTGACCTGAACATATTCTGCAATAGAGTACTTTTGGAAAGCAGGAAAAATGAACAATCCAAAAAGTACTGGAAGTGGTGGAGTACCTGTAGTTAAAACTGATGCTTCTGCAGGCAAATTCTGGGTTCCTAAAGGATTATCGAAAGATCAGCTGGAGAAAACCAGATTTGAAGTGTGGCTTGAGCCTTTGGAAGACATGTGGGAAGAGCAGAAGAAGAAGGAAGTATGCCAGACGTTCCACGAAGCCCTGTCTTCCATGGATCGCCGAGTTCATCATTCCTTTGTGTTGGACCTGGTAGATCATAGTCGGGATCTGCGCAAGAGAAAGCCAGATACACTGGCATTTCTGATCTTGAGGGAGTTTGATACCATGCTCAGTGTCAAGAAAATGACCGAAGAGGTGAGTATGCGTGCTATAACCATTTGTATTTCACTTAGTGGAAGGCTGTTTATAAGTAAGGTAATTTCTGATAATGTTTATTATTAAGAATGCATCTGTTTATGCCCTTGTGCTGGGACCTTTAAATCCAAGCTGAAATCTTATCTATTTTAACAATACCTGTACTTGGCACTATTACACTCATCCAAACTCTCTCATCCTTTCTAATTTTTTTTGTGCGCCTCGGAATAGCATTGTCTAGATAGATGGGCCGAGATGGCGCTATATAAATGCTTATTATTATTATTAACACAACTATTTAAGTGGACTAATAAAATCTAATGCTGGCTATATTTTTTCTAACCATGAAACTTTTTTTCTCAAAGACATTTTAACATTATGTCTACAAAATGAAAATCTAAATATATTGCAAATCAAGACAGTATCGGAAATATAAGACAGTAATTCTGTTCTCCTATTTTTCAAGGAATTGACCAGAATCCTTACCCCAGAGCTGAGGATGCAAGCGTTTCACCTGGCAGCCAGTGCTCACTCCAACGTCTTTGATATCCTGTCCAAGCTCTACTACCTGCAAGGACCAGACAACTCTTTCCTGGTGTCTAGAGTCAGGGTCATGCTGGCAAGGCAACAGTTCAAAGAGGTCAGTAGCTCTCTAGACATTGTAATGATAATAGTTTTAGCTTTAGCATTGCTGCTATTATGGCACTTGAATATTTAGGGAACTAATACCTGCTGGGTACCCATTTACCTCATATGGGTCTATAGATTAATATCTTGCCTGAGACAGGTATTATAAGGAGGAGGAGGAGGAGAAGGGGGAGGAGGAGGGGGGAGAAGGGGAAGGGACGGGGACGAGGAGGAGCAGTAGCAGCTTATTATTTGTCTCTGCTCAATCTGTAACTCCTTATTCTTTCCTTATTCTTTGTCTTGTCTTTGTCCTTTTTTTATTTACAGCTTCCACAGTTCCACAGTCTTTTTTGTATATTTAAGAGTTATTGTGATATGCAATTCTACTCTTAGCTGGATCATACATTGTTTGCAAAGGGAAATTAACCCAACCCTTCACCAGTTTCTCTCTCTTTTTTACAGGCTGCTACGTGTGTGACAAAAGTGAACCTTCATAATTGCTTTTCATTGGAGGATGTAAGTATACATCATGGGAACAGATTCTTCACTTCAACAATAGGAAGCATTAATCTGCAGTAAGGTGCAGTGTAGTAATTTAGATAATTGGCAAACAGGGAGAGGAATCCTTTCTGGGGGGAGGTGGCTGCTTTTTTTCTTTCACCTACAATAGCAAGGTTTTTGGGGGTTTTTTTCCCCTAGATTTGTGATTAGGAATCGGCCTTCAAAGTTGAATGATTTGATTATCGATTTGTCTTATAAATACCAGCTATCTGCATCAAGAAAAGTTTCCACCAAGTCCAATACATTGACCACCGCAAAGACCCCAATATCTTTACATAATGTTTGTTCCAGTGTACAATTTTGTTTTATTTTGCAGGAGCTCTTTTCAGGTTTGGTGTTGTATTTAGATGCGCGATTTTCTCACAGTGATATCAAAGTATTGTTTATTGTTCTTTACAAGAGCTTTTGAGATTATTGTTATTATTCTTTCTTTTTTGTCTTATTCTTCCTCCTCTCCCCCCCCCCCCCCCCTCCTGCTCCTCCTCATTCCTCTTCTTCTTCTTCTTCTCTTTCTTTGTCATTTTTTTTTCTTTTTCTCTTCTCTTTCTTTGTCTTCTTTTCCTTCTTCTTCTTCATCTTCTCCTCCTTCTTTTTCCTCTTCAGATCTGCCTACCTCTCATCTTTCAAGACAAAGCTAACATGGTAGAGAGATATGTCCAAGGTTTCCCCGAATTGCAAGAAGCTCTCGTACGACAACTGGATGTTTTCTGTGAGCAGGGCTATGATATAAATGCATATCTGAGGTATGCTATTATTTGCAGTGACTATGTTTTTGAGTTGTCTAGATTTGATGATTTAGAAACACAATGTTGTTATGAATTTAGACCTAGAGATGATAAGCATCAGTTAGGAAGTGGGTAGGGGGCAAAATGTTATTTATCTTGCACTTAGACACACAAAACTAATGGGGCGTTGCAAGAAAGTTGCAATGAATTGCAAATCCCCAAAATCAAGTGTAAGTCTTGCAATTTATTGGAAGTCAACTTTCTTGCAATGCCCCATTAGTAAGAGAGAGAGGGGGAAAGAGGGGGGGGGGGGGATTAAAAGCTAAATCTATTTAATGTTATTGTTAAAAATATAATCCTACCAAAATCCTAGACTATAGTGGGGCGTTGCAAGAAAGTTTAGTTGCAATCAATTGCAAATATCAGTTGCAAATTTTGCAACTTGCAATCAATCGCAACTTTCTTGCAACACCCTATAAGACATTAAATACATGCAGTGAAACAACTGTGCATTTGATTTAAGGTATTACATAGAGATGCTGCTAATACCTTTTCCATAGACTCTGGACAGTAACAAAGTTTTGTGGGTATTGAGTACCCAAATGAATGGGTCAATAAAGTGTTTTAGCATCCTTTATTATGAACTTATGTTTCCATTTAGTGACAGTGATAAAATAGCACAACTGTGAAATTGTCTACAATGGAACTACAGCATAACAGAACTTGTCAAATGTACCTTTTAACTATGCAGTGAGATGACAATCAGTGTCCCAGGGGTGAGGGTTGAGAAGCTAAGGAGACGTCACATGACCAAGCTTATACTCCGACTGGTCAAGATGTTCAAACTGGACATGTCGATCTGTCCCAACACTGCCAAGTCCAAAGACCTAGGTGCCATCAAGTACCTCATTCATAAGAGGTATATCGAGGTAACTTTCATTTTTTTTACCAGGCATAGTTTAAAACAGCAGTGTTCACAATGTAATAGATTTATGAGGCCTGATCAGTAGACCAATCGAATCTCAGGATGTTCTCAAATGCTGGTGAATGAACATTGCAACATTAATATTATAAAAAGGGTTCGAGAATGTCTAATCAGCAAATGAGACCGGATCCGTATCTCTGGCGCATACAAAATTAAGGGGCCATGAAATGCACATAGTTTCAAATGGTAAGGACATTGATTTACCTTTGAGATGTATACTACACAGTTTGGTTGTGCTTTTATACTGTGATGGCTTTCAAAGCAAATGGCGGCTTCCATGACTTCTATTCTTGACATTTTGATCAGGCATTTTGCTTATTTCTCGTCTTAAATTCTTATTTCTGACACGTTTTATAAAACAAATAATTCATGTTTTGAAGCTTGTGCATTAGTGATATCCACGTACTGCACTTGGTTAAGTCACAATTAACCAGATAATGAACTTGACAAGTTGAAGTTCATTATCTAATTCTGACTTAAACCGGTGCGATGCATATTAACTAATACACTTAGAGCTGATTAATGCTGATGTGGTATTGTTCAACTCTTTCTTGGGGATAAAATTTGTGCCTAATTTTGATCATTGATGGGGTTTAACCCTGATGTTTCAGAGTTCAAAATTTCAGTTTAAATACAAGAGTTAAATAATTAATTTGCAAGCACTTCTTGTAAATTAATGCTAATTTAAATTGTACTGTTGTTCAACTGTGAATGTAATAGACTTTGTGCCTAATCTTGAATATCAGTGGGTTCAACCCTGATGTTTGAATGTGGGGGATGGTGGGGGCTTGCCCATATTCCAAGATTTATGACAATAACATGCAGTTTCTTTTTCTTTTTTTCTTTGCAGGAGTCCATGGCGCAAGATGTATGGGAAGAGCTTATAGTCTCCACCATTGGAGATAACAAATCCGTCCAGGTTGGTTTCATTGACCAACTAGTATGGTACAATGATATCCCTGCAGCCGCTCGCTGGGCAAGGCATTATGAAATAGATGTCAATCAACTACCTGAGGCTGTCTTCGAGGAACTGCAGAGGTCCGATGCCAGGTATGCTTGTTGTAGCCTTGATTCAACCTTAATAGCAAGTTGTTCTGAGTGATTTCAGAAAAATAAAGCACTTGTGATAAGTGAATGTTTAATAAAGTTGGATATGTGATAAGAATTTCAAAGCCCATACAGAGACTATTGCAATATACTTTAAAATCTTAAATGGACAAGGTCATGAGGGTGTGGTGACACTTTTTGCAATTCTCACATTTAGTTGATTAAAGGGATCCGGTAACTTTGTCTCAGATTCTGAAACAAAATTCTGGATTTAGCTCATGCTGGAATGATAATTATAAACCTTTAGGTCAGTCAGGAACCCCATGAATTTTACCGTCTGATTATCAAGATATTTATGATTGGAATTACAAATTTTGAAAACCGTTTGCCAAACAGTTTTCATAACACTACAGTCTATTGGGGAAAACGAGTATGGTACAACCGGTCACTCATAACACGTGTATCTCAGATTTAACATTGTTAAACGATACCTTTAACAAATGTCGGTTGTCAAGCAGTTAAGTCATACATGCAATGGTCTCTGTTTCTATTAATTAAGTGAAGTTGAGAATGAATTCAGAGTTCATTAAAGTGATCTAGAAGCAGAGTAATTAATTGTTCAAAAGAGCCCTTTTATATTGCCTCGTGGTCTTGAGATTTTAAAGTATCTTTACAATCAAGTTCAATGGTTCAGGGTGAACTATCTCTACTGTAATGTGGTGTAAGGTGAGAAACTTTAATGTGCAAGCAGCTTAAGCAAGATCAAGAGGGGTTAAGTCTTTTGGAAGCTGTATAGCATTTTAAAACAAAACATTTTAAAATCAATTGTTTGCAACTCTTGATATTTTGGGGATAAGAAAATGGCGTTTATAAATGATTCATTCAATTTCATGTCACCCTTCATTAACATTTTGTGATAATTTCTGGTTTAACAGTATTATTTTAATCATTATTTTCTTATGAAGCAATGCTGCTTGTGAAGAACAAGATGTAGGAGAGAATTGGGATGAAGAGTTGCCAGATGCTCCTACTGTTGATTATTATCCCCTCAGTCTACCAGGGGAAAGGATCATTCTAGTCTCCACGGCGACTGGTATACAACAGTGCCTTGCAGACATCACTAGTAAGGTAATGAACACTTGGATTGCTTTCTACGCCTATGCACAGTTGCTTGTTTGCAACAAATGTGAAATGTAAATTGAGACACTGCAGTAGCTTAATGTTTGTTTTAAAGCCAGTCTGCACTAGTTAGGCCAGGAGGGATTAGACCTCTCTACATGGCACTGACAGGTGGTTATCACATCAAATCAGCTCTCACTTTATAACATAAGAAAAAGGGGATCATGGGGGACCAGCGGGTACAGCTTAGACATTGTTTGCTATATAGAGGGTGCAAATAGCTACAAGTAGTGCAGTCCTGCTTTAACATCACAACTAGCAATATTAGAATAGAACATAATGTCATTTACCTTTTTATATGAAAAAGAACAGTGAGGAGAGTTATATTTTTTACTTTGAAAATGATTGTTGTTAAAAGATATTTAGTCCTCCTCATTATGTTTGTTATGGTGTTTTTTTGTTTGTTGTTGTTGTTTTTGTTTCTTTTCTGGTTAACATTAAGTCATTATTTTTTTTTCTTTCAACAGCAAAATCCAATGGTAGGAATTGACATGGAATGGAGACCTTCATTCAGCCCAACACAGAAATCAAAGTAAGTATAAAGAGGATGTGAAACCCATTTCCTCACACCTTGGCTTTAATTCCTTCCTGTTGGTTTCCCATGGTGATCTGATTTCTCTGCAGAAGGTTATGCTACAGTGTCCAATTAGTTCTCCCAGCAGGGCTTGTGATTAAAGGGAAGGTATAACTCTAATGTCAGTTTCTTTTAGCCCCATTGCACTACTTATAGCTACTTGCGCTCTCTATATAGCAAACAATGACTAATCGGTGACCATTGGTCCCCCATGGTCTCCTTTTTCTTATGTTAATTAAGAGCTGATTTGATGAGATAACCACCTGTCAGTGACCATGCAGGGAGGTCTAATCTCTCCTGGCCAAACTAGGGCAGACAGGCTTTAATTAAAAGCAGACAAATCAAGAAAAATCATTTTCAAACTTTTAAAGTTGTAAACATTCAACATTAATTGCCAAGTTGGTCCTGCTGCCAAATGATTTTTATGCCTCCGTTACGAAGTAGCCAGAGGCATTATGTTTTCGGGTTGTCCGTCCGTACGTACGTCCCGTTCTCGTGATCTCAAGAACCGACTAATGGATTCCTATCAAACTTTGGTCATGTATGTAACTTGCAGAGCCAATGAATTGATTAGATTTTGGGTCACGAGGTCAAAGGTCAAAGATCACAGGGCTCATTATGTATGCAAAAATAGCTTGTGATCGTGTTATCTCAAGAACCGGTTGATGAATTCCTGCCAAACTTAGGTCATGTATGTATCTTGCAGAGCCAATGAATTGATTAGATTTTGGGGTCATGAGGTCATAGTTCAAATGTCACAGGGCTCATTATGTATGCAAAAATAGCTTGTGATCACATTATCATTAGAACAGATGGATGGATCACCATCAAACAAGTATCTTGCATTTGGGGTCATGAGATCAAAGATCAAAGGGTCATACATGTACATGAGAAATAGCTTGTAATCATGATATTTTGAGAACCTGTTAATGGATTACAACCGAACTTGAATTTGAAAAATTTCTTTCATTTTGGTTTGTAAAATTGCTCTATGATGGAGGCATCACTTTCGACTGCGACTGTGCACAGTCGAAGTTCCATCTAGCTGGGGTAATGTTTAAAAATCTCCTTTTCTTTTTTTAGGGTAGCCCTGTGCCAGATTGCAACCCATGAGACAGCCTACCTACTAGACATGACAGCCTTGTGGGTATCAGAAACCAAGGATATTGTCAAGGATTTCTTTCAACAGTTGTTACAGTCTGAGGAAATCCTTAAACTTGGTGAGGAAGCAGATGTTTTTTTTGTGTTTGTGTTAAGTTGTGATCTAAACTTGTCTTAACGTTAATTGCTTGTCTTGTTATTCCCTTTGTCTGTATATTCCATATTAAATTGTTGACCCGACATGTGCCACAGTAGCAATTGCTCCTGGCTTTATTTTCTCAGATATATAGGGTTGGGTGAAGGTTGCAGTTGGGTTTTAGGTTCTGCTTATGGTTAGGGTTAGGGTTGCAATTCGGTTTAGGTTAGTAATTGGGTTTTAAATTTGGTTTAGGGGTAGGTGTAGTGTTTGGTTACGGGTTAGGGTTAGAATTTTGTTAATGTGAGATAATGACTGCAGAGCAAATGTTGTGGGATTATGTGACATAGAACCTTGAAATCCTAATGCAGTTTATTTTAAATGAAAAAAGTCTTTATTCAGATAAGAATGTTATATCTGATTGAGAACTTTTCTTTTAACAATACCATATTCTTTTAGGCTTTGAAATATCAGGAGATTACAAGATGCTAGGCCAGTCCTTTCCAGAACTCCAGGAAGTTCTAAAGGGAGAGAAGAGGACTGTGGACCTCAATGGATTAGGCAAACAGGTAAGACTTTTCTCCTGTCGGTTATGTGATCACTTTTATGTGGAATATGGGTAATTTCCAACAGCCATAGTCGTTGATGAACTTTAAATATTTCCTGTACTCGCTAATGTATTTATAGATATACTGAATCAGTCTTTAGATTTTGCTAGTAGTCAGAGGACTTCAGAAGATTTTGACTTAATCACAAAATGGGGGGGGGGGGGGGGGGGAAGGGGATAAATTAAAGAAGAAAAAAAAGAAGAAAAAATGGAGAGGGAGAGGGGAGTAGATATCTTTCAATCTCTCAATGGCCCCTTTCCCCCATTCTATTAAAGCCCCACTGCACTTATAGCTACTTGCGCCCTCTATATTACCTAAACAATGCCTAATCGTTGACCGCTGGTCCCCCATGATCCCCTTTTTCTTATGTTAATTGAGAGCTAATTTGATGAGATAACCATGTGGCAGTGACCACGCTGGGTGGTCTAAACCCTCCTGGCCAAACTAGTGCAGACAGGCTTTAATACGACTCATACACCACACTATGCCTCTGTGTTAATATGCATCTATTTAGAAAATATGATTGTCTAAAATGATGTGTTGCCCCTCCTCAAGCACCCTAATTTGGTTCTGACCCAGAGACCTCAGTGGCTTCTCCACTCTTCTTTAAATTTTCTCTATCATATGCTTGTGTCTTCGTCTCAGTAGCGAAGTCAAAGCCAGGAACTCTGAGACAAGATCGCTAGAATAAAATAACCTTGCGTAGCTTTTTTACTTGAGTCGTGACACAGTCCAGGGCTAAGGCCAAGGACACTAAAATATTGCCTCGAGGCTGGACTCAACTAAAACAAAGCTTGATATTTCATTGTTTTGTATAGATCCTCAAGGAGATTCCACGCTCTGGGAACAGTAGGATCGGTTCTCATGGATTGACAGACCTAGTCCACTATTGCTTCGGGAAGTACCTTGATAAGAGGGACAGGATCTCTGACTGGGAAAGGCGCCCTCTGAGACAGGCCCAAATGACATATGCTGGTGAGTTATAAGGTTTATTGTTGTTGTTGGTGGTGGTTATTTTACCTGACTGCTAAGAAAGCATAAATGCTTGTAAGTAAGCAACCAGACGGCCGAAGGCTTTAAGTCCTCTCTGAGGGACCTGGTAATGAGGATTAATGCCTTACCAAAGGGCACTAGCGCATCGACTTGTTTTCGAACCCGGGTTACCGGATTACAAGACCCACTGCTCTACTGACTGAGCTAGGTGATGGCTAGGTATTAAAATAATATGTACATTTGCTTCCTATCATCAGTATTTGCTTTTTTTATGCCTCCGCCACCGAAGGTGGTGCCGGAGGCATCATGTTTTCGGGTTGTCCGTCCGTACGTCCGTCCCGTTTGACCGTTATCACAATATCTCAAGAACCATTTAAGATTTAAACTTAAGACTCGAGAATAGTATTTATCACCATAGGAAGACGATCTGATTAGATTTTGGAGTACGTAGGTCAAAGGTCACAGGTCACAGAGGTCAACTTATAAAATTCCTTGTATTGAGTTTGTTAGCGCGATATCTCAAGAACCATTTGAGATTTAAACTTCAAACTTAAGGATAGTATGTATCACCATAGGAAGACGATCTGATTAGATTTTGGAGTACGTAGGTCAAAGGTCACAGGTCACAGAGGTCAACTTATAAAATTCCTTGTATTGAGTTTGTTAGCGCGATATCTCAAGAACCATTTGAGATTTAAACTTCAAACTTAAGGATAGTATGTATCACCATAGGAAGACGATCTGATTAGATTTTGGAGCATGTATGTCAAAGGTCAAGGGTCACAGAGGTCAACTTATGAAATTCCATACATTGAGATTGTTATCATGATATCTCAAGAACCACTGGAGATTTAAACTTCAAACTTAGTGATAGTGTGTATCACTATAGGAAAACAATCTGATTACATTTTGGAGCACGTAGGTCAAAGGTCAAGGGTCATAGAGGTCAACTTATGAAATTCCATACATTGAGATTGTTATCATGATATCTCAAGAACCACTGGAGATGTAAAAACTTCAAACTTAAGGATAGTATGTATCACCATAGGAAGACGATCTGATTAGATTTTGGAGCACGTAGGTCAAAGGTCAAGGGTCACATAGGTCAACTTATGAAATTCCATACATTGAGATTGTTATCATAATATCTCAAGAACCACTGGAGATTTAAACTTCAAACTTAATGATAGTGTGTATCACCATAGGAAGACAATCTGATTAGATTTTGGAGCACGTAGGTCAAAGGTCAAGGGTCACAGAGGTCAACTTATGAAATTCCATACATTGAGATCGTTATCGCGATATCTCAAGAACCACTGGAGAATTTTCACTTCAAACTTAATGATAGTATGTATCACCATATAATATCTCAAGAACCACTGGAGATTTAAACTTCAAACTTAATGATAGTGTGTATCACCATAGGAAGACAATCTGATTAGATTTTGGAGCACGTAGGTCAAAGGTCAAGGGTCACAGAGGTCAACTTATGAAATTCCATACATTGAGATTGTTATCATGATATCTCAAGAACCACTGGAGATTTAAACTCCAAACTTTTTTAAATTGCTCTATGGCGGAGGCATCATTTTCGACTGCGCGCAGTCAAAATTCCATCTAGTTATTATATATATTGCTTGCTTTGCAATTGGTCCTCATGAACTCTGCTCTCTGTTCTTTTTTTTCTCTCTTCTCATCTCCATTTTCGCCTCTTTCTCTACTCTCTCTCTTGCCCATTTTAGTCTGATTCGCAGCTGAAATATATAATTTCATTTTCAGTTCACATAACAAAATAAGCAAATTACCACAATAGAGATTTGGATGCTCTTCAATCCCAAATGTCATTTAAGACACACTTCTGCACAAAAAAAAAAATGTGTTTGAAGACAAATATTGATCAAAGAATACATAATTTTGGTTTTCTGTTGTACACAGAAAACCTATATTTTGTATTCTTTCATCAATTTTCGACTTCAAAAACATTTGTTTTGAAAATCCTTGCTGAAATGTGTCTTAAATAACATCCTCTTTTACGTGATGATGGCCTTATTTTCAAGTTCCCTATTTTCATTTTCTTATATATTACAAATGCTTATCATTGTATATATTTTTGTATTGTTTTTATTGAAAATGGAAATGAATGAAACGAATTGAATTGAATTGAATGATACAATTTAAGTGAAATTTTGCCACCAAATCTGTGGGGCTTAAATCATCTTGCCATCTTTTTTTTTTCTAGCCCTGGATGCTTTCTGTTTGTTAGAGGTCTATGCTTATCTCAAAGAGAAAGTATCCTACCATGGCCTTCAGATTAACATGGAACAATGCAACTCTAGCAAGACAAACAAGAAGTCCAAATCCAAGGCCAAACCCAAACTAAGCAAGTCACCCAAAAAGAAGCCTTCATTTTCTGAAGCTTTAAACCAGGTTTGTAATTCTCCTTCCCTTTTATGCTTTTCGTAATGTTCTCTTCATTCTGGCAGGAATTAATTCTGTGAAATGCTAGAGCGCCGTAATGGCAGCACAGCTAAAGCCGGGGTAATAATCTCCAAGTTGGAAGCGCTTAGTGATTGTAATAAGCGCTATATAAAAACTGAGTATTATTATTATTATTAATATTCAATCCTTTCACTCTCCAATTCACAACCTCCTCCACCTCCTCCTATCTTTGTCTTGCTAATTTTCTGTCTTCTCCTTCTCTGTCTTCTTCTCTTTCTCCTTGTCCTCCTTATCTTTCTCTTCCTACTTCTTCTCCTCCTCCTCCTATTTCTTCTTTTTTTTGTTTTAATATGTGTCATTTGTGTAATATTCTGGTTAGTGTGATGGTAATAATAATCGTCCATCTTAGGATGAGAAATTCTACTCTAAACTCCAGTCTTTCCTCCTCCTTGTACTGTCCACCCATAGCCTCCTCCTCCTCCTATATCAGCGGGTCAACTGGCCGTGGTATGCGACAACATGCTCCAAGGGTTAGGGCGCCATCTACGGTCATGTGGAGTGGATGTGAAAGTGCTTGATAATGATGATGAACATGATGAAGCCCTCCAGGTGAGCTAAATTTCCCTTCTTTATAAAACTCTTTGAAAAGTGAGGCATTTAGCTAGATCATGTAACCAGACGTGTGTTCTTTCGACAAATTGAAGATTGTGTCTCTGATCAGTGATTTACATTTACAAATCAGATTCCTTTGTCTTATGAGAAAGAATTTGGAACGTTTTACCATTAGATTCATGTAGAAAATACAATTTTTTGAGAATGCAAATGCAAACGCAAATAATAATTAAGGTGTAAGAGTGCTGTGGTATAGCGGATATGTCTCTGACTGTGGATCACATGGTTCATGGTTCAAGTCCCGCTTTAGCACTTATGTCCTTTAGCAAGATATATCTACATTTACCACTCTTCACCAAAGTGTTAAATGGGTACTGGTAGGAAGGAATTCCTTAAATGCTGTGAGCACTGAAATTGGTAGCCTCGCAGAGCGGGAGTAATATTGGAGCGGCTTGAGCACCTTGCGTGGTGGATGTGTGCGCTATGAAAATATCCAATACTTTTAATTAGGTTTCAGCAAATGCAGAAGTTTTGTCTAGTAAAAATGTGCTCATGTAGTGGACTCAATCTGCATTTATGATACTGCTTGAATTTCACCTAAATATATGATCCAATTTTCACATACAGTTAACGACTGAATTATTCATACCCCTTGTAAATATGAAGTTTTTTTTTGTTGTTTTTGTAAATCAAGAATGAAAAGTGGACTGGTAGAATTAGAGCCTTTGTTAAAGGTAAAGACCAGTATTGGAAAGGCCCCAATTTCAAGAAATGAAATGGAAGCTCTCATTACCAATCATGTGAAAGAATATGTTTTGACTAATACATGATGATAAAAAATTTGCCGGGAAACCGCCTACTAATTCATATATTTAGTAAATTTGTTTCTCTCATGGACTGTGAGAGATATAGGGTAGTCCCATATACATCTTTCTGTGTATAGTGCTTGTAACTTTATGAAGAATGGGCCAAATTTCTTATCATTTTGATGATTCCAGAACCTTGCAGATGCTAGATGCTAGATGATCAACCTTTTCTGATCGATTCCACAACGTTTCTTTCACAATGCAATCGCATGACCATAAGTGGTCTTTACCTTTAAATACTTTTAGGTGTAAGCTTAATATGTCACATTCTCAAGAAACATAATTCAGGACAAATAAACTTTTCACATTCTTAAAATATTACAAACCTTGGTAAGGGTATGAATAATTTAGCTATTCTCCCAGGAAGCATTACATTTAAAAAAGTTGTTGTCCTAATGGCAGACTAATGAATATTAATAAGTCAGAATGAATCAGAATAGCTTGGGTATTTGTTTCTAGTTCATTGGACTGTGCCATGGACCAGTGATAGAGACGCTGCCCGGCAAGCAGTAGATGGCAGGTTCAAATCCTGCTGGTTCCAAGATTCTTTTCTGACTTGTTTTTAATTACAGATCGATCAATCAATCTTAATTACTGGGTGTAAGCCACAAATATGTTTAAACAATTGACTGTAATTTGTTCTTAATCCTGCAGATTTCACTGAAAGAGGGCCGTGCTATCTTGACAGCTGGACAGCCATATATCCAGGTATGTGGACTACATATATCAAATGACTGTATTGTTGTGTAAAGCTTTTGACAAAAATTCTTATTAAGAGAAAAATAAATGGAATCATTTTTCTATTGCCACCTGTCATGAACAATTTGTCACAGATTTAGAAAAATACATACCGTGTATATGAAGAGCTAAATTCCAAAAGGAGCTAAATCCACTTTTGATGAAAATTGAGTTATTGATATTAGAACATTGTTCACTTAGTACCCGTCTTTCAACAAAATTATTTACCTTAATTTTGGGAACAGTAATGAAAAAATGCACCTTCTAATATCACCTTTCCATAGATGCCTGTACAACATCTGGTATTCAATTTTTTTCTTCTCTGAAGTTTAAAACAAAAATGGATTTAGCTCCTTTTGGAATTAAATTCTTCATATGTGAAGTAGTAATTGAAAGTGAAATATCAGAATTAGAATAATTAATTTCGTTTTTTTTTTTACTTTTATTTAGTTTGATTGATATAAAGAAATCAAGTCATATCATATTGATACATTATATTGATACATACATGCACCAAGTTTGAGTCCACGCCTCAAATAGCTAGTCTCTCTCTCTCTCTACATTTCTTGACTCCCAGCTAAAGTCAAAAGTGGATGATGGTAAAATCATGTGTGTCCAAACTCAGAAGAAGGCCAAGAATCAGGTTCAAGATGTTTTAGACTTCTTCAACGTGACGGTCACTCCCGCAGATATCTTCAGTCGATGCCAGGTGAGATGTAAAAACAAATTAAGATTTGTAAGAAGTACTGGGGGCGTTTCACAAAGACTAAGATGGACTTAGGCTGGACTTAAACTATGGCAGGCGATTTATGCCCTTAAAAAGCCTTGAACCAGACGGATGCACAATTAGAGAAAAGAAACCTTAGAAATTATGATCTTTAGATAATGATTTTTCCTTCAATAATAAACTATGCAAAAATGTGAATTCTGTGATGTGATGTGATGTCGCTTGAGAGACCAATGATGAGAGCAACCAGTGGCATGAATTGCCTGCCATAGTTGAGTCCAACTTAAAGTCGATCTTAGCCTTTGTGAAATACCCCCAGTAGTGTCAATGAAAATTATATTTTTTTTCTTTTTTCTTTTTCTAAGATAACTTTTCCAACAAATATTTCCCTCATATTTAGAGTAGTTAAAGTTTGCTTTTTGAACCAATCCGCATGTTTGGCAAGTACAGGGTGAGAAGAGAAGTCCACCTCAGATTGATGTCAAATGCAGGAAAACCAGAAGAAACGGATCAGTGGGAGTGGGAGAAAAGTATGATTTGAAAAAATAATGATAATGAAGGATTGGAAACCTCGCCACAAATGTAGCAATTTATTAAATTGATTTGCAGAATGAAAATGGCTTCAAGGAATCCTATTGACATTGTCAAAAGTTATCCAAAAAACTGTGATGTTGCCCTTTAAACCCTCTCATTGGCATTGGCCATAGGGTTAGGGTTAGGGTTAGGGCCTGCAAAACCATGTGAATCTCTTTATACATTTAATATTTCCTCTGTCATTTGCATAAATGAGACATATTGTCATAGAATCCTAGATAACATAGTTAGTACCTCTTCTCTCTTCCCATTATTTAGCTGTGCAATGGAAATGTCTATGCCAAGGTTACCAACCCTGAAATGAGGCAACTCTGGCTTCATAAGCAAACTCTCTTAGGGAAATCACGCCATGCCGACAAGGACGACGACAAAGACGTTTGTGGAAACTTTGAGGATGTGATGATAACGGGGGATGACGATTACGAAGATGAGGAAGACGAACTGCGTTACATGCGTCCTACAAAGCAGTCTTCAGACTCTGGAAAGACATCGTCTGCAACGGATCAAGCACAGGGTGTTGCAAGTCAGCCCATCATTGTAGGAAATCCATACGGGTATCTGACATCTCATGCCAGCAACCAAGACAGATCAACGACGGTCGCAGATTCGTCTTCCGACTTCGATCCGACGTCGGTGTGCACAGGTACGGCTTTTGAGGCGTCTGCTGGAGCATCGCAGTACATGGACAGATCACCAGCGTCGTACACGGAAGGTGCCCTTGACTTCAGTAATGTCAAGGTCGGAAAGTCAGTTGACTTCCAAGTGGACTTGGTTCCTGAAGGGATCTTAGATGTGGTAGACCATTTCTTCTGCTGTACAACCTGTGGTAAGGTCTATTGGGAAGGTAAACACTTTGCTAAGGTCTGTAATCAGTTTGCACATGTCTTGGACCGAGGTGAAGACAGGCAAGGCAAGCTGGATGATGGAGCCGTTACAGCATGAGTACAAAGCCATGGGACTTCACAATGATCATATGCATGTTTATCTTTCTCAAAGCTCGACATATTTCAGGAATTAAGGCAAGAAGTGAAAGGACAGGCTGCATGATTGAGCTTTCATAGCATTAGTTTTAATAGAGCTGTGGGACTACATATCGCATGTATGATTGGCTATCACATGCTCAGTATAGTTTTGCATGAGTAAAATGTAAACTAATTAAAGCACTTTGAGTAAATTCATGAAGGGATGTAGCTCCTTTTGGAGTTCATTTGGAGGAGGTGTTCCTTTGTAAAGCATGTGAACCTCCAGGTGGATATAATTTAACGCATTGTAGGCATACTTTAAACACCATTCCTAGATAATCATCTAATGTAGATTTACTAATCTGTCTATCGATCTATGCCCCATAGCTTGAAGGTCGCTCCGTTGGGACGACAGTGAAATGAACCTTGAGACACATGGTTTTCCATATTTTTCTGTCTTCAGCTGTTCTATTTTAATAGCTGCTCTTAGTTAGCTGCTCAAATGAAATTCCCGTCCACTGCTTGATTTCATCAGTCCATGTTCTAGTTTTTTATTTACTTATACAGTATATAAAAAGGGAATACTGTTATAGTGTGCTATAAGGTCACAAGAAAATTAGCCCCAATATTATTAATTTTGCCACTTTATGTTTGCGGTCTACTCAATGTCACGGCTTATTCCTGTACATTCCAGTAAGGCCAGTATCCTGTGCATTTTATACCACTGCCAATGTGAACCCTTAATACATATAGGCACAACCAAGATTTTATGAATTTCTATTGCATTTATTCTTCGAAATTTAACTAAGCATTTTTTAATTTTGGAACATTACTTGACTAAGGCTGCATTCTCAGGTTAAAGTTTTCTTTGAATCTAATACATCTCCATACATCTGCCTTTTAATAGAATGTCAGTATTTTATGAATTATTGTATAACTATCACATTTGACAATGATTGAGGATCATGAAATTACCTGTCGTAATTGTTCTGTGGACTTTTTGTAACATAGCTTATGTTTAATCATGTGTGTTGTCCATATGGTCATAAATTTCTTGGTATTTTGCTCAGGAAACAGCACACTTTACGAACAGCAAAAGACAGCTAACAAAGCTTTATTTATCTGAAATTTTAGTGCAAGAAAAGAACCCTACTGTATCTTTTGTAGCTGCTTTTAATTTTGCACAATCCCGACTTTCATCATTAGCCTTTTTTGTCTTTCCATGAATGTATATATATATATATACATGTATATGCCCTTTAAAGTCGAGTATATTTTATCATAGTCGGTCTACATTTTGGCAATTATTAGTGGAATTATTGGTTAATTAAATACCAAAATGAAAAATGCAGTTGCAAGCATCTATAATTCCTCATGCTTTCATTATCTTAAAATATACATGCTTAATTGTGACAGTAAGTGATATACCACATATATGCAAATTTATGCCGTCTACCATATGTATATGTGATAATTGTATTGTTTATGGCGATTGGCTTTGAATACAAATATATGTCCAAGTCACCGTGCCTTAGGATGTGTGAATATTATGTTTTAATGGTTTCCTTTCTCGTGTTACAGTAGTCTATGGTGCCCAGAATACGGGTGTTTCAAAAATATTAGGAGCCAAATTGAGATATATAAAGCTACATTCTTCTCAGGTTCTAAATTATATATACTGTTGGTTCTGTGAAGAATTTTTTTTTTCTTGATGATCACTTTTGATTATTAATGTTTAGACATGTCACAAGAGTATTAATTTGCCCACAACTCCTTTTTTCTTCATTTTTATGCCGTATATCATCACATCTTTGTCACATCTCTGACCATTTCATTCTTAATTTAATTTAATTTACCGGGTACTCGATATTCAGCTTTGGTATACAACTGTTCTTCATATACATGTTCACAATGAATAACAAATTTCTACACAAATTTAGAAGTTCTTTAGATCAGTACCCTCAAAATTCCTAAGGTGTAGCAAGAGAAAAGCTACAAAGTTCTTAAGATAATACTCTCTCAAAAGAACAACTCAACATTTAATAAACTTTGTGAATGTCTAATTAATATTTGTAATAACTAGACAGGTGTGCATTCCTGCTTGTTTACAAAATGAAGTACATTTCTATTGCTCAGTGGGAATACCTTCCTTGTTAATTTCGTTACAGTTAGTACATGTCATTCCAAGATCTATTGTCTTGTCTAGATTTGAGGCATGTGTGTATATTTCCATCCTGTGTAATGAACACAGTGAAAATGTAAGACACCCTTTGATGACCCAGCATGAAGTTCTCATTAACATTCCTCTCTATTTTGATACAGGTCATTTAGAGTTCACTCTGAAAATTTATCAAAGCATTTGTGTTTATCAGAAATAAAGTTGATGCCGCTTTATAACAATATCTTAAAGATAAAGTTGAGTTCTGGTCATACGATTGCATTGTGTTGGGCAATTGATCGGAAAAGATTGATCATCTAGCAAAAAAGTATTGGTGTGTAATGCAATGTTAGAATCATCAAAATAATATAATAAGAAATTTAGCCCAGTCTTGGTAAAGTTACAAGCACTGTACACAGAGAGATCTATATGGGACTACACAAACATGTGGCATAAAAATCTGTCCCAATTTGTATGATGTTACATGCCATATTTAGAATATTAAGGCACTTGAAGAACCATGCTTTTCAGGGAACATTTTTTTTATCTGATGTTCTTCTTCACTTTCATAATACAATGATAATGCTCACAAATCATTTTTCACCTCTTCCTAGAACTCAACCTTCTCTTTAAATTTCTATTGTAGGACAGCATTTTATTTAAAAAATATATTTTTTACCATCTTGCCTATGTTTCTTTTTCCTTGACATAATTTTATTTCAAAGATGCCTTATGTGAAATACACTCAAAGCATCTGTGTGTCATTGCCAATGAATACATCATGCAATGCGATATCAGGTTTACTTACTTTTATTTGATTGATCATCAACATTTTAACTTTTCTTGCCAGTACCTGTACATACTGTGATAAATCAATTTGCTGTGCATCAAATTATGATCTTCCCAATTTTTTTTTTTATTTTTCAGTGTGTACAGGGCTTGCCTGTTACAAAAATACATACAGTATATTAGGATAATGATGTAATTACATGTAGCAACTCTTTTACTGCATTTAAACTTTATGTACACATCGTCTGTTGAATGTTATTTACCTGAATATACATAATTTGTGATGCAAAGATGGCATTTCAGAGGAGAAAGGTTATTTTTTAGGATAATCATGATATTTCAAAATATTTTCTGTACATGTACAATGTGTTTACAATCATATTATCCAGTTAATAGCATGTTATCTTTTGATATTTGTACACTGTATTTTTGTGGTAAAGAATTTTATTTTCTCTCCATGTTGAGTTGCAAATAAAATATATATTACATGAATTGATGTATGAAAGGAGCTTTTGTTTTCGTATTTACTGTCCAATTTTCAGTTTATTTATTCATTGTAGTTATTAGAAAGCTTTGTTTTTTATAGATAGTTTGTCTATCCAAGGGTAGATAGTATGTTATGACCCATATTGAATAATGACAATAATAATGGACATTTTTACTATGCTACAGCGTTGATTAAAATGTATCATACATTTATTTGTATTATTGACTTGAAAACGCCCTGCAACAACGTAAAAGTTCAAACAGCACTCACAATTATCCTTATACTAACAAAGAGGCCTTTTATGTGGATCCATAAACCAGGTACGCAGTTCACACTCCATAACGTGAAATTCAAACTTGTTATATTAAAACTTGACAAATTGTCATACTTCGATTGTTATATAAAGAGCAACTGCTGATAAAATATGGAAAAATATGCCTGTTGTTTTTCAAAATTCTGCTACAATAGCATAGTTATTGTAGCAGAATTTAGAATGACTAGAAAGCTAGGGCAAATCGAGTATTGGTGATGATCGATAGAGATGATATGAGACAGGTCTTCCTGCCGATTTAATACCTTATCTTTCTTGGTTACAGGAAGTCTCAGGAAATTCTCTTCTTCAAAATTGAAATATAAGGGGAAAATACATTTACAAGCAATGAATATTGTCAATCAGCTTCCATATATACATGTATGTGTTGACTCCTCAAAATAAATTCAGTTTACTTTGCATGATCATAATTAAACGCTTTAGCAAACTCAAAAATTTGCTGGATAAGCCAAAGTCAAAGTCTGACCTTTAACCTCAATAACATCAGCTGATCTTTGCAAGCTGTAATAAAAATCCTTTTCTATTTTACCTCCAATCAAGGGGCAACAAACAAACAATCCTATATAAATCTTGATATAAAAACGATTCTTGAGAACATTATTAAAATGTCCAATTAATTAAAATATAGCAATTTTCCTCCCCAAACTTACTCATTTTTTTCTTTTGTTTCTTTGTCTTCCTTGAGCCTGTGAAGACTCATAGATTCCTGTACATTGTAATGAAAATAACAATATTTTAAAATCAAAATAAACATAACATATAACATAATTGTCATGTGTTTACTGCCCTCTAAAGGTGGTAAGTTTATATCATAACATAATGCTAGTAAGTTCGTTGCTAGTAACTCATCGAAATCCGTTCGTTGTAGTACCTTCGCGCCCGCCGCCGCGATCAGCTCCATTGCAAACAACGCGTACGCAACGGAATTTTCTCCTGTCGAATGATACCGATTTCCCGATTCAGGTGAAGCTTTTCTTCACACACCTAATCGGAGATGAAGGTAGCCCATCCTATGTGTAAAAATTGCCAATTTGATAAGAGTAAGGATCGCATTGTACACATACAACCGCTATACTACACACACGCATATTCTTTGTGTATTGTATCCGTCAGGCATGATCAGTGCAACGATGGCTGGCTACCAATTAAAATAGGCATGGTGGTCGGATATAATCAGAGTCAGGCGCGTACGCAGGGGGGGGGGGGGGGGGGGGGGGTGTTTGGGGGGTTGATCCCCCCCTTTGGTAATTTTATGTGTGCAAACCCCCCTAAAAAATCCCTAAACCCCCCCCCCCCCCCCTCTTTGGATTTTTTTTTTTTTTTTTTTTTTTTTTTAATTATTAAAAAAATTACCCCCATGGCTGACCTAAGAAAGGTGACCTTACCCCCCCCCCCCAACGGAACAAAATGTCAAATTTTCAAATTTCAAGACCAAAAAAAAAAAAAGTGTGTCCTCTTACCCCCCCCCCCCCCCCCCCCCCCCCCCCCCCCCCTCACCTCACCTCATGTATGTTCGAAATTAAAAGTTATTATCTTCTTTTGAATTGCAATTTATCCCCGCACCATAATTATAAGTCATGCATGAATGTTATTTGTCATATGTTATATATTTGAAAGGTGGTAACGATTCAAGCTCTATTTGCTTATGTCTCATCACCTTTGTGTGTTCTTTCTTCAAACTGTATATTAGTTGCAACATATGTCTTTGATAAATCATTGTTTTTCATGTGAAGTCAATTCAAATGGATTGTAAAATTGAAATGATTTGTTATATTATATTCATTTTTCATGTGATGTTAACTTCAATGAAATTGTGAACATGCATAACTATAAATAAATAAATAAATATGCCTTTTCTCTGGGAAAAGGGGCATTGACTCTTTAAATACCAAATCACATAAACTACTCATCATTATGTCACCGTCATCATGTACATATTTTGTATGGATGATAATTTTTCACGATCTCAACTCTTTACCACATCACGTCATGTACATTGTCGGTGGATAAAGTGGAATATTAACTCTTCACCACCCTACGCTAACTTTTCACCACCCTATGTACATTGTCTATGGATAACCCTTCACCACCCTATACGCTACCTTTTCACCACCCTAGCGTCATGTACATTGTCGGTGGATCAAGTGGAATATTAACTCTTCATCACCACCCTACGCTAACTTTTCACCACCCTATGTACATTGTCTATGGATAACCCTTCACCACCCTACGCTACCTTTTCACCACCCTAGCGTCATGTACATTGTCGGTGGATAAAGTGGAATATTAACTCTTCACCACCCTACGCTAACTTTTCACCACCCCAGCGCCATGTACATTGTCTATGGATAATCTGGAATATTAACTCTTCACCACCCTACGCTAACTTTTCACCACCCTAGCGCCATGTACATTGTCTATGGATAAACTGGAATATTAACTCTTCACCACTACGCTAACTTTTCACCACCCTATAGCGCCATGTACATTGACTATGGATAAACTGGAATATTAATTTTTCACCACCCTACGCTAACTTTTCACCACCCTATAGCGCCATGTACATTGACTAAGGATAAACTGGAATATTAATTTTTCACCACCCTACGCTAACTTTCACCACCCTAGCGCCAGGTACATTTAGTATGGATAAACTGGAATATTAATTTTTCACCACCCTACGCTAACTTTTTACCACCCTATGGCGCCATGTACATTGACTATGGATAAACTGGAATATTAATTTTTCACCACCCTACGCTAACTTTTCACCACCCTATAGCGCCATGTACATTGACTATGGATAAACTGGAATATTAATTTTTCACCACCCTACGCTAACTTTTCACCACCCTATAGCGCCATGTACATTGACTATGGATAAACTGGAATATTAATTTTTCACCACCCTATAGCGCCATGTACATTGACTATGGATAAACTGGAATATTAATTTTTCACCACCCTACGCTAACCTTTCACCACCCTATAGCGCAATGTACATTGTCTATGGATAACCTGGAATATTAACTCTTCACCACCCTACGCTAACTTTTCACCACCCTACAGCGCCATGTACATTGTCTATGGATAAACTGCACTATTAATTTTTCACCACCCTAGGCTAACTTTTCACCACCCTATAGCGCCATGTACATTGTCTATGGATAAACTCCACAGCAGAGGCCGCCCTCCTGGGGGGGGGGGGGG